TTTGTAGTTATGTTAACTAAAAGCTTTCTAACTCCCTTAAAGTTGGAAAATGTGTTTAAAAGGCATTTTCATAATCGTCTATAACACTTTCGCTTAACTAGATATTGTTTTTTCACATTGCAGTTCTTTATGCAATGATCACAACAGATTTTTTTATTACAATTTCCATCGGATGCCTTGACAAGGTGAAATATAGATTACAACAAAGCCTATCCTACTTTCGAATACATTGATTTTGTAAATTTTGTCTGTGTTTTATTTCTACTTACTAAAAACTTCATATATTTTAAACAGATTTTCTTGAATCAAAAGTCAAATATTATTTAGACCGTAAATCTCATAAAATCTTTAATCATATAACCATCATTTCAATTATTTTTCAAAAATTTATTATGAACTTTTCAAAAAACTATAAATATATTCTTATATATACATTAAGAAATTAATATTATTGGCACGTGAGTTCCCATTATTATTTAAGACTATTTGGAGAACGAAATAATCTAAATTTACTAACCGAAAAATTAAATGATTTCCTTATAAGTTATAATTTATTTCTTTTATGACAATTTTTGTTCATTTCTTTTTATTTTACATTTCGAGTTTTATAACCTATATTATTTACTTATTTCAAAAACTACATAATATTTTGAGTGGTGAAAATAACACTCATCTAACAAAATAAAAAAAAAAGAGAAAAAAATGAAAATTCTTAATTTCTTTTTAATACAAAAATAATTCCAAACTTTCATTTCAGCAATAATTTCAAAAAACTTAGATTTTTCTTAAGAAAAAAAAATAAAATTAAGAAAATCTGTGACTACTTTTCATATACAACTTCCAACTATGTTTTAATTTTTTCCTGTTTTTTTTTTTATTCAAAACTTATCCTTGTTTCATTTTCGCTTAATAAACTCATTTCTTTTGAGTTGAAAAATTGTACAAAAAGAGGAAAAAAAACCCTTACTTAAAAAGAAAGAAATGTGAATGGAAAAAGAAAATAATTAATCTTTGAAACTTTTTCATTAATTTATATACATAGTTAAACATACACTAAATACATACACTATACATATTCGCAGTATACTTGTATGCTCTATATAATATTATAACATTATAATATAAGTTTTATAAGCTTTAAATACTAGAATTTTCAACAGAGCATATTCTAGCCGCTATTCAGTTTTACCATTAATGTGTAAACGTAATTAAAAGCCTGGAAAATGTGTGAAAATTTATTAAAACAAGAAAAAAAAAGAGAAAAAATGGCATAATTTGCATGGAATGAATAGAAGTAAAAAAGAACCCTTCATTTTGTAGGTCATCAAAATCAAAAACTATAATTTTTGTTCGAGCAAAAGAAAATACATTTTTTTTTTCATGTAAAAAAAGAATTTTAGTACATTTCTTTCAAAAAAAAAAATATTTTCAATTAAACAATTTTTTTGAATTTATACAGCCGGCAGTCTAATTTAATACCACTAAGCAAATAGTGTTTAAGTACAGCTATACTGTACTATTTTTACACCAATGGAAATTTTTTCTAGAAAAGTGAAAATTTTCATTGAAAATATGGAAAAATTTTTAAAATTTTTCTTTATTTTAATTAACTGAGTTGCTGAATGTATATAATACATTTTTTTATAAAATGGAGCAAACCAATGAAGCAATTCAGAAAGTGCCATTTAACAAATAATTTTCGAAACAATACCGTCTTGTGTGCTAAGATGCACAATTTCACTCTGTCTCTTTGATTTTTAATTGAGTTCCCTGGCCCTAAAGTATGATCTTATGAAAACATTATTGAAGTTAATCAATACCATTAATATGGGAATCGTTCAATTATATCACAGCTTTTATTTCAATAAAAATAAAATCTTTCATAATTCATTTCGAATAATTTCCTTAATTTTGCTTTTTTAATCACATTTTAACTTAGACATAAATTATAAATTTTAAATCATTGTAAAAGATGGTGCTAATTTATAACATTCATTATTTAAATAAACTATACATATTTAATTACTAATGGTTAAACTGAAAAGATTTTAATTCTGACAGTGTTTAAATCATCGAATCCCCCAAAAGTATGCAATTTTCAAATATTAATTAATTTTTCACAATATCAAATTTATTGCCCAAGTTTTTAAAAAATATTCTTTTCCAATACCTTTTATTAACTACTAACACGTTTTCGAACATTATTTTGCAAATATATTATACAAATATACACCAAAGTTATTCATAATATTTAATCTAGTAATATGTAGGTTATCATGTATAAAGTATATAATACAAGAAGTAAATGAATAGGCTAATGGACTTAGAGGTGCTTTACTTGTAACAAAAAAAAAATAAAATAATAAAAGAAATGTATAACATATTTATTAACACTTCAATTAATAAATAGCAAAAAAAAAATTAAAATTATATGAAATATATCTACAAAAACTATAAACATGCAAACACACATAATGTAAATACATATAAGACTTTTAATAAAAGGCAATATATGATGTCAACAAACTTTCAAGTACATAATACAATGATATGTGAATCAAATATCATCTTTGATGCGTAAGTGATGGGTTCCTCCTTTTTTTTCCTCTTTTTGTTTGTTTTTTTTTTATTGTTCTACTTGTTCAGAAAAATGTAACATATACACGATAAGAAAGTTTGATATGTTCGTATATATTTATTTTATTCCAATATAATAAGTATTTACATATGAGTATATGTAAAATGTGTTATACGTTATACAAACATACATTTCCATATAAACACAGATATTTAAACATGTTGGGAATTCTGAAACAAATTATAAATGCTCCAGTAATTTAAATAAATATATGAATAAATTGAAAAAAAAAGGGAAGGAATAAATTTAGTTTTAAAAATAAGATGAGGAAAAAGATGTCTTTCAAAAAAAAATGGAATTTATATGACGGCTTATATTATGATTTTTGATTTGAAATGATATTTGAATAAGAGAAAAAATTCCATGTTAAGGATGTTATAAAACAATCAAGAATGATATTTATATTTCATTATTTTAAATAATTAAAATTTAATATCATATTATTGAGAATTTTCAAATTAAATATTTATATGGCTTTATACGAGTTCACAATGAGTGGCTACTTATGCATGTTTGACATAAATATTGTTTTCCCTCATGTTTTGAAAAGTAGGTTGAAATTGAACAAAATAATTAAACGGAGTATGTACCCATCTAAAATGGTATAAGACAAGGGGACAGGTTAAGTCTAATTTTATTTAACGTATAATATTAAATAAGATCATAGAGAGAGTCAAAGAGACAAATGCCTAATACGAATGGCACACACAAAATAAAAATAATCTGTTACGCAGATGACGTGAATATTATGGGGGAAAATGAAGACAATGCCCAGAGATTCCAATTTGCCTTCCTCAACGCAGCTCAGCCTTATGATATGCAGATTGCTACGGAAAAACAGAATATCTGACAGCGTCTAAAACACCATTAAGGTGCAACTGGTAGTCCATGACAAACCGATTTAGAAAGTAATGTGCTTCAAGTATCTTGGTGTCAATATGAGGTCATACAGAGATTTAAGGTCTGAAATCAGACCTTAAATCTCTGACAGACAAACAAAGTCAGACATAGTTAGTTTCTAAGTGCTTACTTGACACCATTTGGAAAAATTAATATAGATGTGTGACTTTAATGAAGATCTTACGTTTTTTTAAATATAAAGTAAACTATATAAATATAAAGTAGACTAAAATAGGAACCTAAATCAGACTAGAAACCAAATACCGATTTCATCATTTATAACGGTAAAGTAAGCTTCGGTAAGCTTAAGGCGAATCTCAAAAATTGTGTATTCTATTTTCCTAATATGCTTTCGATTCATTTTAGAATTTTTAAAATTCTTTAGATTTATTAAATATTTTTTGTAATAAACATTTTATATCTATCAGTAATTTAATAGCGTGTAATTTCCTAATAACTCATCACCTTTAGCAGTAAAAGCTATTTTAGACAGCTTTTCCATTTATTTTCCTCAAATTGATTTGATCTTTAATGAAAAATAGCTTTCAAAAGAAAACCAACTTAAGTTGGCAAACAATTTCATAAATGGGCAATATTTTCTTTGATCAATTTCGAGAAAAAATTTGTATGGTTATACTTACTTTCGAGTTACAGCCTGTTGGAAAACAGGTATCAGATATTTCCAGCATGTAAATACACGGATGTAACTTCTGAATCACGCAATATATAGTTAGGGAGTCAAATTCTCAAAATATCTTGTGAAATGTTTGGCAATTTTAATTTGAGATAAAATTTGTTTTATTTCTATTGGAAATAATGGAAATATTATTATATATACTTCTTTTCAAAGTTTTAGTATTGTATTGTATTGTAGCTTTAATGTAGTTTCTGAGTTACGATAAAATAATTTTTAAAGGCATGTGGCTGCTGTAAAAACTCGTTAGCGGTATCACATTCAATTCAATATAATTCTAGCATTTATTAAAATCATTTATCATTAAAACCAATTTTTAAGATTTATTAAACTTAGACCAATCAGTTTTTTAGTTATTGCAGGAACAAAAGATAAGATGAGCGAAGAAATAAACCTAAATCGACTTAGAATTAAATGGTGTCAGCCGGAACACAATATTAGTTATCTTAAACCATTTATCTCTCAACGTTACATCTCGTATATTGAATCAAAAACTCGCTCGTATGCTGAAGAGTTTATAAGATCAAATCCAATTTTTTTTTCCATTTTTTCACGGAATCTCTAATTAAGTTAAAGATGAAAAAAAAATTAAAGGATCACGCTTATTCTTTTATAGTCAATAAAAAAATCATTTAATTACACAATGTAATTACATAAGAATATCATTAATATTTTATTATCTATTTATTAAATATTTATTACATTATATGTATATATATATATATATATATTTAATTTAATATAGTAGATGAAAAGAAAACTTCTTACCTGGTTCAACAGTAGTTACTGTATCTGATGTTGTTGTATCACATAAATGTGTTTCTAGGAATGCAATAACATAAAAAATACTTAAAACTAAATTAACTTGTGTACCCATTTCACTTGAATCCTTCTATTAAATATATGTATATATTTAAGTATTAGGTATATATATATATATATATATATATATATATATATATATATATATATATATGTGTGTATATTGGTGTATATTATTCTTAATTTTTTTTTTCTATATGCTTCACTCTATTTTTATAACCTTCTTAATAACGCTCTTTTCTTTTATATTACTTCTATAATATAATATTATTCCTTATTCTTTACACTTCTTTACACTTCTATCATATGTACACTTATTTTCTCCTTTTCTCTTCTTCTTTTTCTTTCTTCAATTATAATATTTTCTATTATTTTCAATTTTTCACTCAATATATATGTACAATATCTATATTGCATATATAATATTTTTGTTATACAAAAAAATAATAATTTTTTCTAATATACACACTTAATCACACGTTTTAGTGCGTTCTATATATGATTTGTTTGTATTATATTAAATTAAATACATATATACCTATTATATATAATATATATAACGGTGTTATATACATTTATACAAATATAATATCATAATTAGTTCATTTGTTTTCTCATCTGTAAAACTTTCATTTTTAGATTATTTTATTCACCAAAGAGCATGAATATAAGTGGCTGTATTTAATATTATATACAAGTAGGTACTCTTTTATAAGGTGCTCCTGGAAATCGACAATCATTTATTCATATACGAGTATATAGGAACTTTAGATTATAATATAGTGAAATAATTTAATTAATACGAGTATTACCAATTTTTTTATAACTAATTTAACAAACAAGAGCTACAGTTTTCTCAAAAAATCGCTTTTTACCACGATTTTTTGTAAAACTATTTTCATATTTTAAAAAAAATTCAAAAGTTAAATTAGATCACCAAAAAAATTAAAAATATTTTCACTCTATCTTATTAATTTCTTATGAAGAAAATCATCATATATTAGGAGCACCTTATATTGTTGTAAAACTACAAATTTATGACGTTGCTAAGAAAAGAAGTTATGAGAAAAAAAACTGTCCTTTTCGTTTATTTGTTTATTTTTTTCTTTCTTTTCCTTTTCGAGATTCCCTTTTCTGTCTTTTTTTGATATTTTTGAGATTTTTTCAGGATATATATCATAATACATAATATTATCTCTTCATTCTTATATTTTGAAACTTTTCATAATATGCAAGTATAAAAATATATACTGTAGTTCAGTTAGAGATTAACTTTTGCTTTTCATATGATTTTTCTAAACTAAACTAATACAAGTACAACGCCATATAACTAAAATCATATAGAGCAAGAACAATGATATAGCAACTAAAGTAGCATCAGTTTGAAGAATAGTAACAAGCATATAGTAATAAAACAAAAAAAAATTTATGGCGATTATATATATAGGAATGGAAGGATGAAAATTATGAAATATAGAGAGAAAAGAAAACTATCTAGCTATATAGTTAAATAAAAATGTAAGGAAATGAAACGAAGCATAATAAAAATTAAAGGAAAAAATAAAGAGAAAAATGTAAAAATTATAAAATAGAATATGGGTGGAAAAAGGACAAAAAAATTGGAGTAAAAGATAAAGAAACAATAAGTCAAGTATGCCATATAGAGAGCGTTCACAATATTAAAACAAGAGACCCAGTTTGATAACAAAATATAGAAAGTTAAAAATAAAAAAAAAAAAACATGAACAAAATATTAAAAAAAATTTTTATATTGTATACAAATACGTGAGTATGTTCGACATTCAAAAATATTGTAAAGCAAATTTCGCAGAGTTTTTCAACATTTTGAAAAATGAAACAATTTTTTTTTTTTGGCATATATTAATTAATAATGTTTCAATATGAAATAATTAGAAATTTTTGTATCTCAAAAAATTTTAATTGTTTATAATATAATTTATTTTTTGAATAAAGATTTTAATTTGCGGCGTCAAGTGGTAGCTAATCTTCATTAGGTATAACATAACTGAATAATAACTGAAAAATCATAGATCCAAGATAGATCTTAAATTTTATTAAATCTATTTCAAATTAATTAATATAAAAAATAAAGATTTTATTACTTTAAAATTTTCATTAATAACAAACTTAATACCGATATCTTGTTCATATCAAGAGATTCAAACGATTTTTAAACAATTATGCAACTGTACAACAAAAAAAAATATTCTTATATATAAAGAATAGAGAATTTTACTTTGACTTGAACTCTATATAAAAATAAATTATTTTGCTAAATATAGATTTTTTTAATCTGAGATTTTCAAACGAAATTTATCTTGTACCGATTTCTTAAAATATGGCTTTGTACACCGTATAATGTTGTAACGAAATATTCATATTCTGCACGCATTTTTACTAACATTAATACATTTTCTAAAACGAAATTTTATAATCCTTTAAAGGTATCTTATTAATTCTTTATAAATCACCCTGTATTTATAGATATTTTTTATATATTATGAAAATCTTTCATAATATTTTTGTTTTTATTGCTTTTTCTATCCCAACGATTTTTCTTTTTTAGTTTTTTTTTTTTTCTTTTTTCAAATGTATTGTGAAGTGATCGCAATCCTTACTTTTATTATTTCTTTCTCCTATTGCTTTTATTTTTTCTGTTTTAAGAAAGGATATTTTCCTTCTTTAAAATTCTTTTTCCCTTTAATTTTTCTTATTTTTAACTTCAATTTCATTACAAATTCAAGTCATATCGTTTCGGTATTATGTGAATGTAAAATCAATAAATAAAATATCCTTTATTTTTACATTACATCTATTGTTATTTTTAATATATAGGATAATACTCACATAGATAGATAAATACATATATGTATATGTATATTTCTATTCTTTGAAATTTTCATACTTTTTAACTTTCTAAATTTAGCATATAAATTTGATACTTAAATATTATTCTATACGGGCCATGTTCTATATATATACATATATTTATGGCTGTAGTGCTGATAAAATATACCTACATTATTGTATATATGTATGTACGTAAATATGTTTATGATATTATAATTTATGAGTGGAGCAACATGTAATTTATTAATCATTCCTTGTATATCCCCATAATATATTTATAATGTGAACGTTTTCCAGTATAAAGGATATATGTACGTGAATTTGTATATGTATATATCATTTAAAATAAATGTTAAATCGAATACAAAATACACATATAGTTATGTATATATACAAAAATTATTAAAAAAATAAAAATTTAAATTTTTTTTTTTGTATTTTTCATGTATATAGCAATAATATTCATTCAAAAAAATTTGTAATGTCTTACATATTATGTGGTACCATAATATTACACCTACACATATAAACCATATATAATTAGATATATATATATATATATAGGGTAAAACGAGAATAAAGAGGATATGGATAATAATTGGTGCTGTTTCTTCAAAATGTAAAATAAAATGTAGAAATATTCGAATGCAAAAGGATAAGAAAAAAATTATAAAAAAAATTTTCATTTTTATTTTTGGTCCTAGCTCTTATAATATAAAATTTGTACATCACAGTCAAGGTTCGTTTAAATGTTCCACTAGAAATTTCATTAAATTGTTTTAAGAAATTTATGATCAAAATGTATAGTTAAACTCATTTAATATTAAAAATTATTATCAAGTATATAGAATTGAATTTTACCAAGTAATTACTAAAAATATATTAGAAAATAAAAGTATTGTTCTAACTTTTTTAAATATTCAAGAAATTTCTTAACTCTTCAACTTTAAATGTACATATAAATTGCAAGAAATTACAAAGGAGTAATTTAAGAACAGCATGAACTTAGCATTTACGCCTGCTTATTTCTAAACGACTTCACTGTAATAAATGAGATTCCACTGGAATTAAATTTGAGTAGTTATACGAGTGTAAACTACACAAGCCAAAAAAAAACTACAAAAATTTGTGTTGAGTAAACTAAAACATAACAAAATTGAAAATTTCCCTGTAAATCGAACGCAATTTAAAGTAATGATATTAAGGAACACAAAAATTACATAATTACAAAAATGAATTCAGCGTAGAATTATAAAATTTAAATATTCGTGAAATTTAGTCCATTATTGCGGGACATAAATTAATCTAAATCAGTTGAAATTAATAACAAATAAATATGACAATAATTTCTTAGAACTAAAACTATTTACAAATGAAATACGAGTCCCTATTGTAAATTTTTGCATATAATCATAAAAAATTGCTCTCAAAATATATCAGCTTAAATCTCAAAAATTTTGTGAATATATGCAATCATTTCTTAGAATATAATATCTAGATGTAGATAACGGTACATATATGTACTCTTTTATTATTATTTACTTGTTTTTATTTATTTTCTCTTAATATTTATCCAAGATATTTTTATATATTAAATGTAAATATAATATATGCACGCTTATTTATTTTCTTTATTTTTACTTTTATATATGTACACTTGTATATCTACATGTTCACATATTATAAATATATATATATTATGTAATAATAAACAGAAGATGTGTGAAAATTATGATGTTATGTAAGTCATGACTTTCATCTTTCTTTACGTTTCTTTTTTTTTTTTTGCTTTTACTGTGCTTATAATTCTGTGATATGTTATACTGCTGTGAAGATTAGCGAGATTATCTGTGAAACATGATTCGAGTAAAAATGCCATTTAAATATCACACTGTTGTATTATTATTATTGTTATTATTATTATTTTTTTTTCCTGTTCTTATTTTTTGTTTCGTCCTTTCTTTGCACTTTATTTCTTTAAATATACATGTTATATGTATAATAAGGCTCAGTCATTATATAAAGTTTGATATATCAAAATATGTATGTATGTATGTATGTAGCTATATATAAAAATAAATTTCTAGATAAATTTTTGATAAATATAATTTTTTCCTTATTTTCATTTTTGTTTTATTTTTTTTTTTTTTTTGATAATAAAAAAATGAAAGATATATACATACATATGTATATATACATATGCAAGTATATTTAAACATGTGTGTACAATTGAATGAAGTGAGATAAAATTAAATAAAAAGTTTTACGGTGTTATCGTAGGTTCTGAATGACAAAAAAAAAGGAAACAGAAAAGTACACATGTTAAAATATAAAAGACAAATTCGACCATACGGTTTGCAAAATATCACATTTCTCTTTAACAATGTCAAATTCTAAAATTTTTATTTGTATATAGAATATGACGCTAAAGGTTTAAGAATTGGAAATAATCTATTGTAATTCTATGAGGTTTATAGACCGAAAACTTATATTTTGAAATCATAGTACAAAAAGAACTTCGTCCTAAAGGAAAACGAAATATTTATCGATATCTATTTAATATAGCCTATTAAAATTTAAGATTTGATTCGATTTCTTTTTATAGGAAAAAAATTAATGTGAAGCCATTATGAAAATAACACTTAAATAAAAGAATTAATTTGGTAAAAATTGTTTTGCTTGTAGTTTTTTATTGGTAGAAGTTTTCTGGCCTTTTACAATTTACAAAATTTTTATGTGATTTGCAA